GGGGGGGGGGGGGGGGGGGGGGGGGGGGGGGGGGGGGGGGGGACGAAGTGGGGAAACGGCCCTCAGGGAGGAGTGGAAGAACTGGCTAGGATGTTTAGAACCCACCGCCCTGGCCTCTCACCTTCTCCTCGGCTGTTTCTGCCAGGTGTCGCAAGCGGGATGTCATGTTCACCAGGCTCTGCTCGAAGGCAGCCACCAGGTTAGCCTGCCACAAACAGACAAAGAAGAACTTAAGGCAATGCGGCTATGGAAGAAGGAATGGCTGATACAGGAGTAGTTTAACAGATTTCCTGTGTCTCAGAGCTGACCAGCGCAAACAAAACCCTTGGCGGTTCTAAGCTACTGATTTCCCTGGGCAGACGAGGTGGAATCAAATAGGTTTTCTGGAGAGAACCAGCTCCTCTAATAACAGCGCAGTGGGTAGAGTAGGCTTTCGGAGCTTTTTGGGAACTTGAGATCTGGTTCTTATCACCTACCAGCGGTGTTAAAGTCCCTCCCTGTGCGGTGGAAGGTTTGATGGGAGAGCAACAGCTTCTACAGTCTTACCGCTTTTGGCTTAATCCACCATGGAGGGCCAGATCTCTTGGGACCAATGACCTCCCAGTAGGATCTGTCTGTTTTAGCTCTTCTGCAGCTGGCTGACTCTCTATTCTTATCTCCTCCTGGGTTTGGAGGGGAAGCCTTATTCCATGTAAGGCGGAGGGAAACAGGAGGCTGTGCAAACCACTTCAGGGGAATTCCACACTTTGGCCACTAGGTGTCAGGTCTACATCGGAAAAGGTGCTGGAACCTGGAGGCACTGGGGATCCTTAAGTAGGGCAAGTCTGGTTCTCTGGTAGGTGGGCTGGAAAGAGGCACCTCGTGGTCTGATCTCAAGCTAGACAACTGGCTGCAAAGGGTATGGGAAAGCAAACGAAATGAGATACGGAGCAGGAAAGGGACCACTCAAGGATGGTCAGTCTCCAGTCAGAGCACCGGAGCAAATGGAGAGTGTAGCAAGAGGCAGAAGGCTCTGGACAGGTCCCTGTGTCGTCTGCAAGACGCTCACTGCCTTCTATTATTTCATGACGTGATGTGATTTGTCCTCTCTGACCACGAAGTCAAATTTTACCAGTGTCCTTGGAGCCTATAAGGCTGGAGGCAGTCTCTTCTATGTTTCCTATAAATCTGCTGAGTTCTGGGCTCCCTAGTAGACAGGTATCATGATCTAAGCATCTTTCTTTCTGTCTTTTGTTTTAATCTGAGGAAAGATATTGCCAAGTTTTTCAGGCTGACCTTGAATTTTACTATCTCAAACAGGCCTTGAACTCGCGACCCTCTTGCTGTAGCTTCTCAAGCACTTGGGATTTTAAGTTTGCCCTCTCAAATCCAACTCTCACCTTCTATTTTTTTTTTTTTAATTTTAAATGTTATTTGTATGTGGGTGTTTTGCCTGCATGTATATGTATGGCACCATGCAGGCCAGAAGAGGGTGCTGGATCCCCTAGGACTGGAGTTACAGATAGCTGTAAGCCACTCTGTGGGTGCTGGGAATAAGAACCCAGGTTCTCTGGAAGAGCAGCCAGTGCTCTTAACCACTGAGCCATTGCTCCAGCTCTTCTTGTTTACTTCTAACTTATACTACCATGTGCTGTCGGCAAGCAGCTTACAGTCCCTGAAAATCTAATCAAGAGCCTGGAGAGCCCCTGGCCTCCTCATGCATTTCTGCACGGACATCTCCTCATCTGGAGAACTGGGCTTCCCTCCCTCTCCTCTTCCACTTCTCTTTTCCCACACTGCACCTTACTCTAATCCCAACTCCAGATTAGGGTGCCTGTAGGACATTAAGCCAAGCGGTTCTTCTGCAGAGAATTTAGCTTTGAAGGCAATGCAGTGACCTGGGTCTCTTCTCGGTCAGGACGTGTCATCTTCAGCAGCATGGAGGTTCCATTCAACATGGCATCAGTTTGGTTCAACATCAGGAATCCTGAGGCAAGCTCTGGGACCTGGTATCCCCTCTTCTGCTTAAGGGAAGGGCTCTGACCTCGGCAAAAATCTAACTCTAGATTCAGAACTCACCAGATCCGGGTGTTTAGTTTGTTCTCTCTTAGCCAAATGGAACTTCCTGTTCTGAGAAAACACCCTCTAAATTCATTTTCTGAACTAGCCCAGACTTGACAGCACCATGGCTGACAGACTGCAGTGTAAATGAATCAGGCGCAAGGATGTTCTCCGCCTCCCTGGCGCCTCTCCCCTTCAACATCCCAGACATGAATATCCTAGGTGTGCAGGACATGACCTAGGCCACGCCGTGACGGGTGTGGTATAGGATGATTCTTGTTTCTGTTATACTTCTTTTGGTCCCAGAGAGTTGGAAGCGTGATATGAGCTTATGAACAGGACTTATGAACTAAGGATTTGGGAAAAAGAATAAAGATAATAACCAATGTGGTAAGGGAGCTGTTTCTTAAATATGTTGAAAACATGCAAAATCTTGGTGGACATTCTACAGGTCTAGGCCTCAGGCCTGGCAGCTGAGTTCCCCAGAGAGAAGGGCAGACAGGAGAGTAGAAAGTATTGCGGAAACTGCAGACGTGGTCATTTCTGCGCAAACACTTGGAAAGCTCTTGGAGACCCAGCTCAGCTGTTGTTTACAATTTGGGGAGAAAATGGGTCTTACGTTCTCCGCTTGCAATTTGGTCACAGGGGAGGAACTAGCCACAGTGGAGGTAGACAAGGCAACTCCATTTCTCTCCGTCTCAGAACAGAAAAACTAAGGTCAGGTCTGGAGGAAGGTAGTCATTCTAAGCGGGTCTACAAAGGGTGGGTTAAATGCAGAAACGAAGAATGTTGGTTCCAAAGCTAAAGCTCATATTGATTCTGTCAGCTGTCCAAGGCAGAGCCAACTGTGAACCCACACAGGCAGCTAGAATGGGGGTTCAGCTCTGAGCTGGTCTTATGGTCACCAGACAGAATTCTAATAACCAGGTCTGTGCCTGCTCAGTTATGTGGCATCAGAGAGCAACACACCCCGGGGTAGTGGAAAAGGGTTCAAGGGCTCAGTAATTAAAATGCATTGCTATTTTTGTCCATGTCCAATGGCAAGGTTGTTTCTGTCTCTCTGCAGAACCACTGGTCTCCGCTTTCTTTGGAAGGTCAAGGGATACCAGATACCAACTCATCCACACCAATTAATTAAGGCAGGGAGAATGGTTCTTAACGAAGGCTCAGAGAAAGGGAAGGACAGTCCCCAAGTCCCCACATCTTCTGTTGTAGCGCTGTGACGAGAACCTGCTCCCTGGGGGGTCTAAACCCAGGTCAGACTTCATCAGACCACATTTCCGCATTGCCTGTGTTTAACTAGAGCTGGGTCTTACCCTGCTTCAGGTACTCACATTGGCAGAGAGCTGAGATGTCAGGGTGGCCACTTTTTCCTGGGATGACTCCAGTTCCCTACGAAGCTTCCGAATTTGCTGTCAATGGAAGAGAGAAGCAAACTACTGATGGAGGAGGAAGCAGAGGATCCAGGAGGAGAATGGAGTGTGCGGTGGTGTTAACAAGCGGGGACAAAGGCTTTGTACCCTACCTCAGATTGCATCCTCTCCTCAGCCTGAAGAAGTGGGCACAGAAGGAGAGAAAGAGAGAAAAAGCAGGCGGTTACTATGGAGGCGCAGAAGCCAAGACCAAGTGTCAGGGCGGAGGCAGGAAGAAGCATGATTGAGAGATGCAGAGAGATGAATGCCCCGTCTCCTGGCCCTGGTAGGACTGGCTCAGAGCTGCACTCAGGTTTAAAGAATAGGCCTCTCTCTGGTGCTTCTCTTTAACCAGCCTTGTGACTGCCAAAAGGCTAGAGAATGAGACTGGCTGGTCTGAAAACAAACCTTGACTGCGAGCAACTTGAGGGAGTAAGGAATTGGGGTCAAAACCCACCGAAGAGTCAAAGGGTATCTGAAAGCCAAATGCCCTCTGTGGTTCCCCACAGTCGACATCTGGGTCAACTCTGCATGCTACTGGATTTCTAGGCTTGGGAACCCACTCATCCTGGTGCTGGAAACACTTCCCACTTCCCAGGGCAAGGAAAGGGTGCTGTCACAAGGAAATCCCCACTTTTCAAAGCGGGGTGTGGGAGAACACCAGAGTTGCTTGGGAGTTGATGTCAAGGCCAGAAAGAACAGAAAGGACCCGAGGCACTCTTCTGAGTGCTCCAAGCGCAAGGTGTCTCCCCCTACACTCACCCCAGGCCCATAGAGTAAAATGCAGGGACGGTAGTTCCCCATCCCCATCCAGCTACCCAACCAAAGGAGGTCTGCGGAATGTGGAATGGTTGGGGAGGGGGCTGAAGGGGAAGGAACTTCAATGGTCTTACTGAGGAGTAGGTGGACGAGGCACTGGAGGCCAGAGATAGCACCGAGCCATGAACTGAAAGAGAAGGAGAGCACAGGTTAGCAGGGGGCTCCAGGGCCCAGAACTTCCTGGGAGGAGCCCTACGGCAGGACTTTGGACTCTGATTCTGGAGGGCATCTACAGCAAACAGAAAGAACACCACAGGGCAGCCCATTCAGATGCCATCAGCCCACAGCAGGCACGTATCCGAGGACATGGTCCTGAACAGAGACAGCCTCCCCTTCCAGCTAGGTTCTCGGACGGCCTGGACTTGGTGGTCCCATGCTCAGCCTGACTGAGGAGCATTGGGATCCAGAGGGAGGGAAAGGAGATTTTCATGGGTGGTCAGCGTCTGCTCTGCTTAGCCAAGAAAGCAGGTTAAGTTGCAGAAATGGGGGAGTTTCTTGTTGGAGCTGCTCAGAACCAATATTTTGACTCTGTGTCTCCTCTTCCCACCCTTGCAGTGCTAGCCTGTGAGCCTGGGGACCACTCAGGTGAAAAAAAAAAAGCAAAGTGGGGAATACTCTGTGATCACTCAACAGAGCCCACTGCAGAACTAACACGCATCTATTAGGAATGCATCCTGAGAATAGTAATGGAGGTCCTATGAACCCCCCGGCCTGGTCTACATTAACACCCAGATCAGCATCAACAATCAGATGGCCAGCCTGGGAGCTAGTCTTTGGAACATTCTAGAAAGAGGATTGAGATGCCTAGTTGTATGGATTTAAGAGCGACCATTTTGTCCCCGTATCTCTTCTGAGAGACCGTGGGGAAGAAAGGCTACACGAAGAAGCTCTAGTTCTCAGAGCACCGAGGAGTCACAGCCACATTTAACTCTTCCAAACCTCAATTTCCCTTCCCTGGGCCCCAATGGTAGATGCTCCACCCAAAAACCCCAGCGCTAGGTGGTGCCACCCAAGGTTTCTGGGCCCCCAGATCCTTCAAAGTTATGGGAAGACAGAACTGAAATGGCCCAAGTTGATGTCCTGTGGATTATATATGTGTGTGTGGTGGTGGCAGTGGTGGTAGTGGAGGTGGTGGTGGGTGAGGGAACCCAGCGGAGCTGGGATGAGTGTGAACCGCGTCAGCATGAAGTCTCACCATCATCCGTGGGGTCTCGGAAGGATCCTGACCGAATCATTCCCTTGGGTCTCTCGGCCAGGGACAGGGTGCTCCCCATTTGGGAGCCGCTGTACAGCTCGAAGGCCGCCTCGTGGGTGGGGATGCTGTTGGAGCGGGTGATTCTTGGCGTGGTGGCCGCAGTGGGACTCACTGGAAGGACAGAGGGAAGGGGGAAGGGAGAGGGAGGGGGAGGCAGGAGAAGAGGCAGGGTCATCAGCTCTTGGGTCCCTTGTGGGGGACAGAGCAGGAGTCATTGAGAGGCAAATGGGAAGAGGGGAGGAGAGGAAGGAGCAGTAGGGGGGCAGTGGGGGTGTGCAAGCAGCTGGAGGTTAGGATTAACCCCTCCTGGGAAGGTTGGGCCCAGATGGAGAAGGACTCCACCTTCTGTATTGAGAATCTTCCCTTAATGCTGCCTGCCTCGGAGCTGTCACTTTTGAAGGTTAGGCTGGGGGCCTGGCGGCTTTCCCGAAACCTTCACATCCCTAGGATGTGCTGATGAAAATGGGATGCTGTGGTTCTCGAAAACACAACTGGAAAGCTGTCTTAGTGGGGACTGAGAATTCAGACCAAGACTCAGATCCAAATGATGAAACAGCACCAGTTACAGAGACGGGGACCAGGCTGTGGGATCCAATGGGCTCAGCCTTAGGAAAGGGCGCGGGGCCCCTGCAGAGCAGGCTCGCTCTAGGTCACTTTCACTCAGATCTCAAGCTAGACTATGGCCTCTCTGCTCAGCATCCCCTGAAACGAAGGTCAGGCAGAGTGGATGAAAGTGTCAGCGAGGCTATGGAACCCACAGCTGTGGAATCTGCTGACCACAGAGGCCACCCCCACTTTTCCTTGCTAAATCGCTGCCTTTCATGATTCAAATCCTTGTGGAGCTCCCCTCTCTGACCTTTGGCCTCCAAATAGCCATGTGGGTGTTTCCCTTGCCGATAAGGACCTGGGAAGAAGAACTGACACCTCTGTCGTACCCTTTCTGGACCCCCAAGGTGATTACTGTCCGGCCCGGTCCCTCATCCTACAGCACGAATAGCCTTTCTTCGTGTTTGGCCCTCAATGGAGATAGAAAACAGGCTGGTCCCACCCTGCATCTGACAAGCCCACAGAAGCCAGATGTCCCTCCCGGAGGCACAAGTGACCTCCAGTCCTAGTTCTCCTCAAACTCCCAACAGCCACGGCACAGGCTTGCTGCAAGTCCTCATCACCAAAGAGCTGCTTCCTTTCACACGGCTGAGAGGAGAGGCGGATTTAGACAGAGACAGCAAGCAAATGGCAGGTCCATCCCAGCCCTGTCCTAAAGAGATCTGAATTACACCAGCCCTGGCACAGGGTTTTCCAGAACCAGGGCTGGTGAGTGTCTGAGCTGGAGCCAGGACCACCTCCTGAAGCCAGTTTCTCCATCCTGTCTCTGAGTCAGTCCTAAGGCCACTTCCTTCTCTCCCAGTTTTCTCTTCTCCACAGGCTTTGGAGAGGGTGTGGCGTGTCTAGGAGGAGTCTTAGTCAGCCTGCCTTTAGGGCTAGGATGGCCCTGGCTCAGCCAGGGCGGTCGGTGAATGTGGACTTTCTTTTTTGGAGACAGGCCTCATTCTCTGCCATCAACAACCCTTCTCTGCCTGCAGCTCACCAGCCCCACAGGTTGGAATCACCCTGGAGGCGGCTGCTCCTGGTAGTACTTACTGTACATAAAGCACCAGTCTGGAGCTCAGGGCCTCGGTTTATAGATTTCCCACGTGGTCATTCAGACTCGTTGATAGCATCAGGACCCTACGGCTTTTCAGTTTAGGACTTTGGAACACTTCGTCTTTCGTGCGGGTTGGTAAACTGAGGCACCATGAAGCAGCCCACTACATGTTGAGCCAAGCATGCCTAACTGTTTTGCCCCACTCTGCAGAGTGATCCCTGCTTCATCTCTCACCACAGCGAGTGACCACAGGCACTGACCTATGTTGGTAAGCTGGCCCTTGGCACTCAAGGACATGGAGAGGGCAGGGGGGGACGGCAGCTCTGCCTGGTCGTCGGATTCGGGAAGTCCGCCGATAGTGTGGGAGTGCCGCCTCTCCTTGGTCTCCTCCTGGGACTGAAGCTGGTACCTGAAAGCAGCAGAGGAGCTCGGTCTGAGCCACTACAAAGCGACACAAAAGGCTGAGCCAGGCAAGGGATAGTAACTCAGCATTGTCCAGAATGGATGGATGAGGCCTTAGGACTTCCTCTCCACTCAGGGCTCTATGGCTCCATATGCAGGCTTTCAGGTGACAGGCACCTCCATCTAGTTGAGCAATTGGGTGCTGTCCTAACAGAGGAGGACCCACACTCCTGTCCCTTGCCTATGTGAGTGGCCTCAGAAAGGCCATGGGGATTATGATGGCATAGGACAGCATAAGTAAGCATACGGTTCCTGTGTGCAAACTTGTTTCTCCTTTGACAGCAAAGAAAATCTCTTGCTATGAAAGCAAGCACACTTGATGGTGAGTTTGCAGAGGGATATGGGTGGTGTTTTTATAGGACCAGGTGCAAATGCCTAAATTCATTCACGGGGCCTGGGTTAGGTTGGGCTGGGATTTTATTTTATTTATTTTTGGAAGTGAACTCAGAGACCCACTTGCCTCTGGCTCCCAAGTGCTGGGATTAAAAGTGTGTACTACCTAGCTGAATTTTTTTTTATATAGGCCAGGAATCTTGGGTATATGGTAGAAAAACAAAACAGGCCAGGCAATGGTGGTACACGCCTTTAATCTCAGCACTTGGGAAGCAGAGGCAGGTGGATCTCTGTGAGTTCAAGACCAGCCTGATGTACAAGAGCTAGTTCCAGGACAGCTAGGGCTGTTACTCAGAGAAACCTTGTCTCACAAAACAAACAAACAGACAAAAAATACACATAAGGGTTACCTGAGGCCTTTCTTGGGAAGGGTGTTCCGATCCCGCTGATTGCTGTGGAGAGAGAGGCATGTGAATTCATCCTGGAAACTAGAATTTGGGACCACAGGTCTGAGTGGTATAGCCTCCGGAGACAGGACAGCAAACTATGAAAATCTATCTCTATAAACAAATACTAAGATGCTCACAACCAAATTCTTGACTCAGAACCTAGGAAGTGTTTGAAATGTTACATGCTTTCCTCTTGTGAGGAGTTAAGATATAGGTAGGCATCTAAGAGGTCATACTAAGGATGGTGAGAACCAGGATGTGATGGGATAGGACTGACTCTGCACCTGGGCGCCAAAGTGAGATCAGGAAGAGAGCTAATGAGACTTCTGAGGTGTCATTTAACTGATGAGAACAAAACAAAAACACCCGAACTTTGCAACTCAGGGAGTTACAAAGGAATTAACTATCTAAAATGGAAATAATTAATTACCTAAATAACATATTATCTAAATCTAAATTAATTATCTAAAATGAAAAAAAAAATCAGAAATCACAGCTTAAATGGATGGACCTGCTAGTGGCCAAACGAGTCTGAGGCAGGCTCAGCTGTCTCCACTGTATACCTGTCCAGTTGTCCAGCTCTGGGGCTTCCACTCCAGGGCAGCTCTTCAGTCTCTTCTTCTGATGGGGCAGCGGGGGCAGCAGGCGGCGGGGGCACAGGAGAACTGCTGGGGAAGGCACTGGGCAGGCTCATCGGCATCTGGAGGGACTCCATGCTCCTGTGCAGGCCTGAGAGTTTGGGGTACATGCGGGTCTCCTTTGGGACACTGAAACCACTCATCAGCTCCAGGCCCTGGGAGAAGCTGGCTGAGTTAATATTGAGGATGGGTGCTGGACTGGGGGTGAAGCAAGACGGGAGAGGGCCCCCAGTTGATGAGCTTGTAGCATGCAGATCTGGGACCTTTGAAACATGGGTGTCGCTGGCAGATGGTAGATCCAAACTGTTGGAGTTGACCTTGTCTAGGTTGGCTAGTGACGGTGGCTTGACAAAGCTTTTAGCTGTGGCCCTGAGAGGAGTGAAGACAAAATAAAATACTCAGAATAACCAATTACAGGGCAACAGGCAATCCTTTTCCAGTTCCCTTCTCTTCTGGCTGCTCACTCAGCTAAAGGTTACTAGGATGACAAACCAATCAGAAGGAGAATCCATACCTAACTTATGGCACCTCCAGTCATAAGGGAGACAACGCATGCATATGGGAAATGTTCACACAAACATAGTAAAACCATTCACACTGGTACTAAAGACCGTGTTGTCACGGAACAGCAGAGACAAAGTGAGTTAGCAAACACGCGGAAGACATGCCACAGAGGAGAGGGGCAGGACCCACAGGAAGGTCTAGAGACAGCAATGGATAGGCCATGCCACATCTAGTCTAAGGCTGGAGAAACAGAAAAGGAAAATGTTGCCCAGTGTGGGTACCTGAGAGGGGTTGGCGGCAGCTCCGTTAACTTGGTGGCTGGAGGGTGGCTTGCTTGGTTCTTAGGAGTGCTTTCTGGGGAGCCAATGCTCTTCAAGGAGATGTTGTCTGAGTCCAAGGCCACAGCCTTGGCTTTGGCCTTCTCCTTTTCCCGATCTGTCTGATTGACAGGAGCGGGAGCCGGAGTGGTCCGACCACTGGCAACCTTGGAAGGTTCCTTCAGTCTGGAGGGTGTAAGGCCTCCCTGTTTGGTGCTGAGGAGACTGGGGTCAATGCTGCTGCTAACAGGACGAGGGCCACTTCGCCCACCAGTCACACTCATTGAACTGGATTTGGCCGGCCTGGGCAGGCTGCGATACTGGATGTTGGACCTGGCTCCAGGCGCCAGAAATCCGGGCTCTGCACTGTTGGACACATCTAAACTGGTCTTGCGCCCATTTACTGGTTTGACAGGGATGCCTGAGGACTTCTGGATCTTGCTGAGCGTGGCTGAGCCACCTGTCTGCATGACAGTAGCTGTGCCAGTAGCAGGGGGAGGCTTCTTATAGCCAAAGGATCCTGAAGTAGAGGGGCGAGCGATGCCCGAGGGAGGCTTCTTAGCATCACTCAGGCGATCCCGGCCAGCATCGGAAGAGGAGCGCTGTAACCCAGTGTTCTTCACTGTGAGCTTGCCCTTGTCTGTAGCTTTGCCTTCAGGCTTGCCTGAAAGGGGGCAGGAAACAGAGGAGGAGTTGCTATCATGAAATCTTTGTTTTCCAAGGCAGGGTTTGTCTGTGTAGACCTGGCTGTCCTGGAACTCACACTATAGACCACGCTGGCCTTGAACTCACAGAAGTGCTGGGATTAAAGGCATGTGCCACCACTGCCTGGTCTATATAATATCTTAAAAACACTTTTCTTTCCCTCTAGGAGAAAAGGAATCATTGTCTATATATTATAAAAGTTTAGAGACCTAAATATGGATAAACGGGTACTGGATAAGCGGATACAGTCTCTTGCCGGAGGGACTATGGGAGGAAGTAGGCTTTCATTTAATTTTTATTGTTTTCTGTGGGATGGTTTATTTTGGTTAAAATGGCAGAGACAACCACAAAAATGATCAAGAAGGAAGTGTGTCTAATAATGGTCAAGGAAGGACGAGAAGAAGGGGATGCAATGTATTGATAAGAAAATGTCTAGACACTAAAGGGAAATGTTGATTAAAGCTCAAGGTGACCCCAGGGGCAAACCCTGGGAACAACATACGTAGAAAAGATACTGTCCGTTAAAGCGTTTCTGCAAATGCTTGCTATCACTCTATAGGTTTGTGGTCATCGAGGAAAACCACTGAAGAAAGGCCCTCGTCCTTGTCCCTTCCTTTAGCCCAACTCACCTGCAACTTTGAGGGCACTCTGGGCTGTATGAGTGATGGGAGAGGTGACAGCCACTGGTGGGGTCTTGCCCTTCTTCAGGGACCCCGGATGCCCCAGGCTGATGGGCTTTTTCAGTTCTCCACCCTTGGAAGAGTCATCGCAGCTTTCTGGTCGCTCTCTCCGCCACTTTGAGGTCCCAGGTTCCATCTTTAGGCTGCCACTGTCGTACTCCAGTTTCTTGGGGGCCTTCTCCTCTGATTCACTAAACCAGTTCAGCCCACTTTCTGCCAGGGAGCGCTTCTCTGAGTCTGTGCGCAGCTGCTGAGAAAAGGGCAGAGTAAGCCACTTACACAGGGGTGGCGGGAACAGCATGCTGAAGGGCCTTGATTAGCCCATACCCTTAAGTCAGTAGGGTTTTCCTCCACCCCCAGCACTCCAGGGAGAAGATACATTATCTCTAGGGTACTTTTTCTTCTCCAATTAAAAAAGCTCTTCTATGTATCACTCTAGATAGGCGTGAGCACCAAATACAGTCACCATGGCACCATGCACCACATCTCCACAGACCTTGCCCAGTTTGTTTTGTGGTGCACCTTGACCTGGTGGCCTACGTGTTTGCGACATCACATACCACTATTGTAGAGCTCCTGCGGGAAGCCGTGGGAGTAGTGGGGAGGGAGTTGAGCGAGGAGCTGGCATTGAACTCTTCGGAGCTGAGGTTGTCGGAGGCATCGCTGAGCCCACTGCTGATGGAGCTGCTCTCATCCCAGCTGCAGGACAGGAGGGAGAGAGGTGAGCAGTTAAAACTGAAGTCAGTGCTAGAAACAGCATTTCATGGAGGTGATGAATGCTTTTATACTATTCTCCCGAAAGAAGAAAGTCTGGGGTTAGTCCTGGGTCTGCCAATAATTCAAATTGTGACTTAAATGGTCTTGTAACTTGGTGATAATATTTTATGAACGGAAGAAGCAGTTGGTATTTAGCAAGACAGTGTTATATTTCCTTAGCTGGAAGCTATGTTATACAGACAAGGAGGGTCTGCTGAGATGGCTCCACGGGTAAATCTCCTGCTGTGCAAACCTGATGACCTGAGTTCAATCATAAAGGCTGAAGGAGAGAACTGATTTCGTAAAGTTGTCTTCTGACCTCCGCATGTGCAGTGTGGCATGCACACAGCCCTACACACATCATTTACACACATAACAACAATAAATAGCATTAAAAAAGATAAGGCATTTTGAGATCCATCCAATTATGCAAACCAATTCAGATGCAAACAGCCTTCAGCCTTACAATCTTGCAGTTTGTCCATTTGTAGACATGTTTTCCAGGCATCCCTGTACTTTCTAAAATTTTCTATACCGGGTAAAAGAGGCAAGCAGAGACCTCTCTTTTTTTGCTGTGCTGGCAACTGAACCCAGGTAAGCATTCTACTGCTGAGTTATCTCTCCAACCCCAACTTCTCTTTTTTAGAATTTTCCGACCTGCCCCTTCTCATTGCTCCCCTGGAGACAGGCTCTGCTCCTGAGTAGCTCATCTGCTCGTCTGGTAGAGACCCTAACCCCAGGGCACTATGGCCAGGCAGAGGTGCCAGAGTCCTGCTGGACAACCATTCAGTACACACACACACACACACACACACACACACACACACACACACACATCAGATGCAAGGTACTGAGAGGGGAATGTGTCCGACATCTGTACTTAACCATGTGTGTTTGGAGACCCAGGTATATGCTCACATGAACTTAATATACCTTACCTTGATAATCTTCATAGCTCAGTCCTTGCACCCTTCCTCTGTTCAAATTTTTTTTTTGTTTTGTTTTTTCAAGACAGGGTTTCCCTGTGCAATGCTGACTGTCCTGGAACTCACTCTGTAGACCGGCCTCAAGTTCAGAGATCTACCTACCTCTGCCTCCCGAGTGTGATTAAAGGTGTGTACCACCACTGCCTGGCCCTCTCTTCAATGTTTAGGTTTAAGAAGTTGTAGTTGGGAACTTTATATTTTTATAATAAGTTTATCTAAATATACAAACCAAAAAGCAACTTTTGCATGTCCACCACCGTTTTGATCTACCTTCATGTGTTGGCACAGGCTTCTGCCGGACCATATTCCCTAGTCTGTTGTTTGTTACCAAGTGAAACTCAGGGCCTCACACACAGGAGGCATATGATCTACCACTGAACTGTATCCCCAACTAAGTAACTTTTTAAAAAAAAATTTTGACACATAGTCTCACTAAATTGTCCAAGTTAACTCTGAACTCACTATATAGCCCAGATATCCATCCTCCTGCCTCAGCCTCTTGAGTAGCTGGGATTATAGGCCTGTGCTACCAGGCTCGGCAATAATCACTGTTTTCCAAGCTCAAAAATTGCCTCTTAGGACCTTTCTTCAAATGTTTCCTGTTTCAAGTCCTTCCTAAAATGATCTTTAGCCTTCATTTTGGCTTGTGAGTCTCAAATTGAACACAAGGTTCCATAAGCTTGCTACACGTGCGTGTCTGTTTGTGCCTTAGGAATTAACCTCTAAGTAATATCTGTTCAGAATGGGTTTGTTTATCATCTTTGCATGAGTACTGAGAGGGCAAGAGACTTTTTGTGCATGTGAATTTGCCGGTATTTGGAAAATGTTTCTTTTTTGATTTATTTTGAGTTTCAGACCATGGAACAAAAATCAGACATACAAGTCATTTATGAGCTGGCCTGGGCTTCAGCTGGCTTCCCTCTAATTCATGTGCTGGGAATAAGAAAGTGGGTGGTTTGGCCATTTGGCTTGGTCGCTCTGGAGTGATTTAGCCAAATACATTGAGAAAGAGCAGAGAAAACATGGGGATTATGACACATGGCCGAGTTACTTAGATTTTACTGCTATTAAATATAGCCGTTACTGAGTGACCCCTGTGCTGTATATTAAGTCTCCCTTTTATCCAGAGTTGAAATATCACGCACCCCTTTTTGCAGAAAAAGGATACCGAGGAAAGATCAATGCTGATTTGATGACCCTATCAACTCTTATGGGCCCAGATAAGATCTCTGGCAGGCACACAAACAAACCACTCACAGCGTGTTCTCTTAGGTCAGAGACAGAGGAAGCCCGGAGTACTGAGCCTTTCATCTGAGATTAATTATTGGTAATCAAGGGCCTGCAGCAGGGACAGCTCTCTGTGGACAGGGCTCGCACAAATGGAAGACTGCGGCAGTCCAGGGATCCAGGATTCCTTTGCTGGCCATTATGACAAGACCGACGCCAAATGGCAGCACGGAGGTTCCTTTTTCTTCTTTAAAATCCATTTATTTTCTTTGTTTATTTGATGTGTGTGGGTGTTTTGTCTGCATGTCTGCGCGGTACATGCATACCTGGTGCCCACAGAATCCGGAAGAGGGGTTCAGATCTCTTGATATTGGAGTTACAGATGGCTGTGAGCTGCCATGTGGGAGCTGGGAATGGACTCCGGGTTCTCTGGAAGAGCAGCCAGTGCTCTTAACCTTTGAGCCATTTCTCCAGCCCCAAACATTTATTTCCTAGGAGAGAGTTCAGGCCCTGCTTCCCCAAAGCCATTCCTGCTGAGCTCTTTGCTACAATGAAACATAAAAACCTAAAGTAAGGGAAGACTAGCTGGGGGTTAAATTTTTTTTTTCAGCAAATTTGCAGGTTGTGCAAAAGAATCTTCTGTCGTTACCCAAGGCTTAAACATCTCTATTGGGGGTGTTCCACTGGAGGGAGCATATTTCTTTTTAAAAAATCAGAAAAGTAATATGCAGAGTCAAATACTACATAGAAAGAAGTGAAAAGGGGAAAAAAATCTATTTTCACTTTCAAGGTAACTTCTGTTAACTGTTTTGTGTGTTTACTTACATCTCCTGGCCACCTCTGACTACATCTCCTGGCCACCTCTGACTCCTGCCAGGCCACACACCCACACCTACAGACTTGCTACTTAAGCTCGGGCTTCTCAGCCATTTTTTGCTTTATTGAGCTGTCTTAATGACATCTCTTCCACTAGTCTCCTAGGAAGTGTTGCTTGTGCTGCCCTGCTTCTGCAGGCTGGCAGGTCCCTGGCCAGAAAGCCTCCTGCCTCTACCTTCCATCTTGCCTTAGGAGGGTGGGGCTTCCAGATACGAGCTGCCCCCACGTTTGCCTTTTTGCCTGTTCTGGGGCCTAACTCAAGTCTTCAGACTTTTGCTGCAAGTGCTTTTACCCACTAAGCTATCTCGAGAGTTCTTTTCTACATCCTTTCTCCTTGAGACAGTCTCGTGTTGTCTAAGTTGACAATTAACTCGCTGTGCAGCTGAGGATGACCTTAACATCTCTACCGCCTAAGTTTTACCTTTGATAATTTTTCAGTTCTCTTTTAAAATGTCTTTTATACAAATAATGTATTTTTAGGCAGATACTCTTGAGTTTCCCTCCTCTCTCTTTCTTTCTCTGGTTTTCCGAGACAAGGTTTCTCTATATAACAGTCCTGCTGTCCTGGAACTCGCTCTGTCGACCAGGCAGGCTTCACCTGCCCCTGCCTTCCGAGTGCTGGGATTAAAGGTGTGTGCTACCACTGCCCAGCCTCGTGAGTTCCTTAAGCTTTTCTTAGCTACTTTGTCTGAAAAAAGCTGTAAATTTATCCTCTCCTAGACTTTTAATTTCTGTTACAATATTTTTAACTCTAAGTGTTCTTTTTAAAACAATACATCTTTCTTTCTTTTATAGCTTCCCTCGGCTCTCACAAACATTCTGAGAGCCCACTCACTCATTTGGAAGGGAGGTTTACAATCTTTTCTCACAGACTTTTGTACCACAGTACTTTGTTCTATTTGCACTGGTCAGCTTGGGCTACACAGTGAGACTATCTCGGGTGTGAGCGGGGGGGGGGGGGGGGGGGGGGGGGGGGGGGGGGGGGGGGGGGGGGGGGGGGGGGGGGGGGGGTGGAGGTGAGGGAGGAGGACTAGCACTAGAGAGATCAGTGATCTAACCAGAGCTATAACTGATAGGTCAATGATCTAACCAGAGATGTAACTGGTAGGACAGTGATCTAACCAGAGATGTAACTGATAGGACAGTGATCTAAGCAGAGATGTAACTGATAGGACAGTGATCTAACCAGAGATATAACTGATAGGACAGTGATCTAACCAGAGATGTAACTGATAGACCAGTGATCTAACCAGAGATGTAACTGATAGACCAGTGATCTAACCAGAGATATAACTGATAGACCAGTGATTTAACCAGAGATATAACTGATAGACCAGTGATCTAAGCAGAGATGTAACTGATAGACCAGTGATCTAAGCAGAGATATAACTGATAGACCAGTGATCTAAGCAGAGATATAACTGATAGACCAGTGATCTAAGCAGAGATATAACTGATAGACCAGTGATCTAACCAGAGATATAACTGATAGACCAGTGATCTAACCAGAGATATAACTGATAGACCAGTGATCTAACCAGAGATATAACTGATAGACCAGTGATCTAAGCAGAGATGTAACTGATAGACCAGTGATCTAAGCAGAGATATAACTGATAGGATTCTTTTAGACTTTCTCATGTGTTAATGATATGTGGCTTCTTCTGCATAAGAGAAGGATACTAGCTGTCTTAGAACACAGTACGACTTGCCACCTGTGGCTTTAGGAAAGTAGGTAGGCCTGAACTGAGTCACTAAAGCGCTTTTCTCTTGGGTTGATCAGATTTTCTAAAGACGAATCTTCCAAACTCTAGCTTGAGGGTCAAAGTTCAGGGTTTTGAACACTGAGTTGGA